TTTCTTTCTTTCTTTCTTTCTTTCTTTCTTTCTTTCTTTCTTTCTTTCTTTCTTTCTTCTTTCTTCTTTTTTTTCAGCTTTCTCGGACAAGCCGAGCAAAAGACAATCCATCCTCAAAAGAAAGGACACAACCAGGACAAGTCCCGGTTTTTGGCAAAGTGCTCCTTGTCAGCCTTCATCATCTCCTCCGTGTAGCACGGTGCGGCACGGTTCTTCTGCACCAGCGCGTCAATCATGGCCATCAGCTGGCCCACCTGAGCTTCACGCTCCGCGCCTTCAGCCTTGTTGTTAAATGCCAGGAAGCGGTTGCCGCACTGGTACACCTGCTCCTTCAGGTCCGCATTGCCTTCGGCGATGAACTTCTCCAGGGTTTTGCCCTCCAGGTCCTCCTTGCGGGTGAAGAGGATGATCATGTAATTCTTGGCCTTCAATCTGAAGATCTCCTTGATCAAGCGTGCCACGTACTTCTCCTCCTGGGTGAAGCGGCCCAGGCGGATCACCTGCAGGATGACGTCGGGGCCCGGGGTGCAAAAGTTGATGCACTTCCTCACTTCGGCCAAGGTTTCCAGCTGGGGATGAGCCGTGTCGAAGAAGCCTCGTGTGTCCACCACCACCACTTTCCGGCCGTTCAGCAGGGCCTCCTCCCGTTGGCAAGTCTGGGTGACGGAGATGGGCGATATCTCAGATTTGAAGACCGGGCTTCCCAGGATGGTGTTGGCCACCACGCTTTTCCCGTTGCCAGTTTTGCCCACCAGGACGATCCACCATTCAGGCCCTACAAACCCAAAGTGGGAAGAGAAGAGAGAAGAAGGGGGACCAGTCAGGAGCACTGGAGATGACCGGGGTCAAAGGCGTCATCAGTTAAGAATCCCTGTGTGCTCACAAGCAACCTCAATCCAGCCCACCTTGACTGCCTTTCTTATCTCCCGCTCATTTCCCCCCTGACCGTTAGTAGGTCAGATTCTTGTAGGGAGCTTAAGCTTGCAGTCCTCGACTTAACCACCCTTCCTTCCTCGACTGTCCAAAGTTACGATGGCAAAAAGGACTTACAACCGTTTCTTCACACTCACAACCGTTCACGCATTCCCACTCATCACCCGATCGAACTTCAGATGCTTGGCCACCGCTTCATATTTGCGACGGTGGCAGCCATTGTCCGTCGGTCCGTCCGTCCATCCGTGTGTGTATGACCCGCACAAATTTCAATGGGGAAGCCTGATTTGCTTAATGACCGGGGGGGAACTCCCTTCAACAATTTAACGACTGAAAAATTTTGGACTCCATTTGGGTTGTAAATCGAGGATACCTGGACTCTTCCCCTCTGGGGAAAGCCCTGAGTTTCACTTAGCAACGGTGGTGAGAAAAATGGTAACGTGGGGCAAAACTCTCTTCAATGTCTCCCTTAACAACCGAAAATTTTTGGACTCCATTGTGGTCATAAGTTGAGGACTAGCTGTACTCTTCCCCTCCAGAGAAAGCCCCGAGCTTCACTTAACAAGAAAAATGGACATGTGGGGGCAAAACTCTCTTCAATGTCTCACTTAACAACCGAAACGTTGGGCCAATCGTAAAGCCGAGGACTTCCGGGAGCCCGAATCGCCTGACTTCCCCAGTCTGAGGCCATCATAGCCCATCCTCCCCACCCCACCCAGGACCCCAGCTGTTAACCAACACCCGCTGCACACCCCCCCCCCCAAAAAAAAAAAAATTACCTTGGATATTTCCAGACATTTCCGGAAAAATTTCACAGCGCCAATCTAGAAGTTTCTGTGGGAAAAGCAAAACTCTGGAATCGGCCCGGAAATTTCTCTCCCCAAACAGCCAGGGAGAAAAAAGGGGGAGGAAAGAAGGGAGGAAGGAAAAAAGGGAGGAAGGAGGGAGGGGAGGAAGAGGGGAAGGAAAATAGGAAGGGAGGAAAGAAGGAGGGAAGGAAATAAGGGAGGGAGGAGGGAGGGGAGGAAGAGGGGAAGGAAAATAGGAAGGGAGGAATGAAGGAGGGAAGGAAATAAGGGTGGAAAAAAAGCGAAAAACCAAAAAGGAGGAAGTCTCCTCCTTCCCAGCCCATTTTACAGACCAAACAGTCCAAAGGGAGCTTGGAGGTCATCTAGTCCAACCCCCTGCCCCAGTAGACGACTTCCCCGACTATCCAGCTGAAAAGGGACCTCGGAGGTCACCTAGCCCAACTCCCCCCCCCAGCCCCTCCCCCTTCGCCCCGCTCAAGCAGTTCTATACACCCCTGGCAGAATCAGAGCATCACAGAGTTGAAAGGGTCCCTGGAGGTCAGCTAGCCCAACTCCATTAGCATCCCTCCCCACCGGCATTGACTTTGCGAACATCAGGATCTCCGCTTGTCCCATCTACCTGTTGGCCTTTCCCAGAGATCAGCAGCCTCTTGCTCTCGGCTGCTCCCTGACCCGCTTCCCACAACAGGTCCAGGAGGAACTCTGCCTTCGCCCCACCCTGCGGCCCTGTGAAATGCCCACTTGGGGGGGGGATCCTGGTGCTTCTGGGGTCTCACCTGGTTGGAGGGAATCAGGTGGATCTGCCAGTCTCCTTTGCTTCTGCTCTGTGGAGTTTTTCTCGTCCTTTGAACTGCGGGTGGAGTTTATGATGGGAACAAATGTCACAGGTTGTCAACCCTCAAGGAGGTTTTATTCATTATAATATTGATTAATTTAGAAGCCTTTGGATCTTACAAAACTTGGACATGCAGATCTTTTTTTTTTTAAAAGAAAACTTGGTTCTGAGTGTATCATACAAAAAAGGAAAAAAAAGGGAGAAGCAGCAACAGCACCACCACCTACAGGCAGAAGTGAAAGCCAGGAGAGGCAAGTCAGAAAGGCAAGGGGGGGGGGAATATAACCTCGAGAGACTGAAGAACTGACTGCTAGATATACAACTTTCCCATTATCAGTTGTTTATGCTGAATAGCGAAACACAGAGATATTCTATTTTTAAACAGTGCAACTCTTGGAACTCAAGTGGAAACTAAACCAATAAAGTGAAATAGAAGCTGAGAACAGCAAAATACTTAATTCTTTTATTTATTTTTTGTTCTGTGACCTCTCTATCTGTGGATATAAAACAATTGGTGGTTGAATTCTGGGGTTTTGGTGGACCTATGTGGATTACAATTTGCCAACTTATCTGTGGTGGTCTCTCATGGAAAAATGAGACACAAGCTAGTGTTCTCGGGATGAGAGCCCAGCACTCCCTTTTATTGAGATTTTAGTACATGGTAAACATAGCAAACATAATCACATGATGGGTTTACAATAGTTGGAGATAGTACAGATTTGTTTACAATTGTCTGAGCTGCTTCCTTGTTACTTGTGTTTATTCTTCCCGTGTTCAATTTCCTTGCACTATCTCAGTGACCTTTAAACAAGCATGTATGTATAAGGCATTAGATTAATCATTACTCAATACCCAAGTCAAAGTTTTATTCCCACACTTATCAATTTTTTATGATAAGGGATTAGGGTTTGAAGCACCTGAAGAATAACAACAAGAATGATGGGACTAAAAGCCTGATAATCCTTGCATTGCAACTTATATTTTTGTCTTTCCCTCGGATTATAACTAATAGCCGTATCCTCTACTTTTTGTGGATTACAAGAACTAATATACTTCAAAATGAGGAAAGCACCACCCGCACCATCTTCAGCAGCAGCAGCAGCAACATCCAACCAGCAGGTCAGAGGTCATTGGATGCCATGTTACAACATACCTCTCCTTCTCTCCCTCACACTGTCCCTTTCTTTCTCTCTTCCTCTCTTTCTCTC